AGATTTTATTTGTTGTTCCGTGTCATTATTCTTGGGTAAATAGTATGCTCTTTCAAAAATTAGTTTCGTATGTTTTTCTCTTTCTCAAAGAAGTCTCCTGTGTTGGAGTCAGTCATATTTATTCTGTATTTTTCTTTCCCTGTACTTCTCTTCCTTACGGTTTTCTGTATGGTGCCTTTTGTCAGTATCTTGAATTGCTTTTAACAGTTTTCTTTCTTTTATTTTTCCTTATTTATTTATTTAAAGAATTTCCACTTCCTCCCGTCCCCCCAATACCCTTCCGCTCCCCCCACTCCCTCTCCTCCTCCCTCACCATTCCCAAGAGCAGTAGGGTTTCCTGCCCTATAGGAAATCCAAGTTCCTCCCCTCCCTCCAGGTCCAGGAAGGTGAGCATCCAAACAGACCAGGATCCCAAAAAGCCAGTACATGTAGACAAAACAAGACCCAGTGCCATTGTCAATGGCTTCTCAGTCAGCCCCCATGTCAGCCACATTCAGAGAATCCGGTTTGATCACATGCTCGTTCAGTCCCAGTCCAGCTGGCCTTGGTGATCTCTCATTAGATCAGTCCCCTTGTATCAGTGGGTGAACGCACCCTTCGCGGTCCTGACTTCCTTGTTCATGTTCTCCCTCCTTCTGCTCCTCATTTGGACCTTGGGGGCTCAGTCCAGTGCTCCAATGTGGGTCTCCGTCTCTATCTCCATCCATCGTCGGATGAAGGTTCCCTCTGGTTCTGCTTTTCTTGCTCACGTTCTCCCTCCCTCTGCTTCTCATTTGGACCTAGGGAGTTAAGTCCAGTGTTCCAATATGTGTCTCTGTCTCTATCTCCATCCTTTGCCATATGAAAGTTCTGTGGTGACATGCAAAATATTCATCAGTATGGTTATGGGCCAAGGCCATTTCAGGCACCCTCTCCTCTGCTGCCCAGGGAACAATCTGGGGACCTCTCCTTGGGCCTGGGAGCCCCTCCAGAATCAAGTCTCTTGCAAACCCTAAAATGGCTCCCTTAGTTGAGATATAAACTTCCCTGCTCCCATAACCATCCTTCCTCCCTCCCCCCTCCCATTCCCCCAAGCCATCCCCAATCCTCCCCCTCTCCCCTCTCCCTAACCATCTCCCCTTACTTCCACCCCCCACCCCCCATGCACCCAAGATTGCCTGGCAAACTTGTCTACTTCTAATATCCAGGAGGATAACTATATGATTTTCTTCAGGTTCACCTTCTTATTTAGCTTCTCTAGGATCACGAATTATAGGCTCAAAGACCTTTAATTATGGCTAGAATCTACTTATGAGTGAGTACATACCATATTCCTCTTTTTGTGTCTGGGTTACCTCACTCAGTAAAGCGTTTTCTATTTCCATCCATTTGCATGCAAAATTCAAGATGTCATTGTTTTTTACCACTGAGTAAAACTCTAATGTGTATATGTTCCACACCTTTTTATACCATTCTTCTACTGAGGGGCACTTCGGTTGTTTCCATGTTCTGGCTATTACAAATAGTGCAGCTATGAACATAGTTGAACAAATACTTTTGTAGTATGATAGGGCATCTCTTGGGTATATTCCCAAGAGTGGAATTGCTGGGTCCTGAGGGAGGTTGACTCCCAGTTTCCTGAGAAACCGCCACACTGATTTCCACAGTGGCTGCACAAGTTTGCATTCCCACCAACAATGGATGAGTGTTCCCCTCACTCCACATCCTCTCCAGCATAGGCTATCATTGGTGTTTTTGAGTTTAGCTATTCTGACAGGTGTATGATGGTATCTCAAAGTTGTTTTGATTTGCATTTCCCTGATCGCTAAGGAGGTTGAGCCTGACCTTAAGTGTCTTTTGGCCATTCGAAGTTCATCTATTGTGAATTCTCTGTTCAGTTCAGTACCCCATTGTTTAATTGGGTTAATTAGAGTTTTAGTGTCTAGTTTCTTGAGTTCTTTGTATATTTTGGAGATCAGACCTTTGTCTGATGAGGGGTTGGTGAAGATCTTCTCCCAGTCCGAAGGTAGCCTTTTTGTCTTACTGATAGTGTCCTTTGCTTTACAGAAGCTTCTCAGTTTCAGTAGGTCCCATTTATTCATTGATTCTCTTATTGTCTGTGCTACTGGGGTTCTACCTAGGAAGTGGTCTCCTGTGGCTATGTCTTGTAGACTACTTCCCACTTTCTCTTCTATCAGGTTCAAAGTGGACAGACTAATGTTGATGTCTTTAATCCATATGGACTTGAGTTTTGTGCATGGTGATAGATATGGATCTACTTTCATTCTTCTACAGGGTGACATCCATTTATGCCAGCACCATTTGTTGAAGATGATTTCCTTCTTCCATTGTATACCTTTAGCTCCCTTGTCGAAAATTAGGTGTTCATAGGTTTGTGGGTTAATATCTGGGTCTTCTATTCGATTCCATAGGTCGACTTCTCTGTTCTTATGCCAATACCAAGCTGTTTTCAATACTGTAGCTCTGTAATAGAGTTTGAAGTCAGGGATGGTAATGCCTCCAGAAGTTCCTTTATTGCATAAGATTGTTTTGGCTATCCTGGGTTTTTTGTTTTGCCATATAAACTTGATTATTGTTCTCTCAAGGTCTGTGAAGAAGTTTGATGGGATTTTGATGGGGATTGCATTGAATCTAAAGATTGCTTTTGGTAGAATTGCCATTTTTACTATGTTGATTCTCCCAATCCAAGAGCAGGGGAGGTCTTTCCATTCTCTGGTATCCTCCTCAATTTCTTTCTTCAAAGACTTAAAGTTCTTGTCAAATAGGTCTTTCACTTCCTTGGTTAGAGTAAGCCCTAGATATTTTATGCTATTTGTGGCTATCGTGAAAGGTGATGTTTCTCTGATTTCCCTCTCTGCTTCTTTATCCTTTGTGTATAGAAGGGCAACCGATTTTTTGGAGTTGATCTTGTATCCTGCCACATTACTAAAGGTGTTTATCAGCTGGAGGAGTTCTTTGGTAGAGTTTTTGGGGTCGCTTATGTGCACTATCATATCATCTGCAAATAACGAAAGTTTAACTTCATTTTTTTCAATTCGAATCCCCTTGATCCCCTTATGTTGTCTTATTGCTATTGCTAGAATTTCAAGCACTATATTGAAGAGGTATGGAGAGAGTGGACAACCTTGTCATGTTCCTGATTTTAGTGGAAAGGCTTTGAGTTTCTCTTCATTCAATTTGATGTTAACTGTCGGCTTGCTGTATATTGCTTTTATTATATTTAGGTATGATCCTCGTATCCCCAGTCTCTCCAACACCTTTATCATAAATGGGTGTTGAATTTTGTCAAATGCTTTTTCAGCATCCAATGAAATGATCATATGGTTTTTTTCTTTCAGTTTATTTATATGATGGATTACATTGATAGATTTGCGTATGTTGAACCAGCCCTGCATCTCTGGGATGAAGCCTACTTAATCATAATGGATAATTTTTCTAATGTGTTCTTGGATTCCATTTGCCAGTATTTTATTGAGAATTTTCGCGTCGATGTTCATGAGTGAGATTGGCCTGTAATTCTCTTTCTTGGTTGTGTCTTTGTGTGGTTTTGGTATCAGAGTAACTGTAGCTTCATAAAAAAGAGTTTGGCAATGACTCTTCTGTTTCTATATTGTGGAATACATTAAGGAGTATAGGTATTAGCTCTTCCTGGAAGTTCTGGTAGAATTCTACATTGAAACCATCTGGTCCTGGGCTTTTTTTGGTAGGGAGATTTTTGATAACAGCTTCTAATTCTTCACAACTAACAGGTCTATTTTTAGAATGTTCACCTGTTCTTGGTTCAACTTTGGTATATGATACTTATCTAAAAAAAATGTCCATTTCTTTTACATTTTCCAACTTTGTGGCATATAAACTTTCGTAGTAAGATCTAATGATTCTCTGAATTTCCTCTGTGTCTGTGGTTATGTCCCCCTTTTCATTTCTGATCTTATTAATTTGCATGTTCTCTCTCTGCCGTTTGATTAGTTTGGATAGGGGTTTGTCGATCTTGTTGATTTTCTCCAAGAACCAGCTTTTTGTTTCATTGATTCTTTGGATTGTTTTCTGTGTTTCTATTTTGTTGATTTCAGCCCTCAGTTTGATTATTTCCAGTCTTCTACTCCTCCTGGGTGAATCAGCTTCTTTTTTTTCTAGAGGTTTCAAGTATGCTGTTAAGTCTCCAATATGTGCTTTCTCCGTTTTCTTTAATTGGGCACTTAGTGCTATGAACTTTCCTCTTAGCACTGCTTTCATAGTGTCCCATAGGTTTGAGTATGTTGTGTCTTTATTTTCATTAAATTCAAGGAAGACTTTAATTTCTTTCTTTATTTCTTCCTTGACCCAGGGGTGATTTAGTAGTTGACTGTTCAACTTCCATGAGTTTGCTGGCTTCCTGGGGGTAGCATTGTTGTTGAATTCTAACTTTAATCCATGGTGATCTGACAAGACACAGATGGTTACTAATATTTTTTTGTATCTGTGGAAGTTTGCTTTGTTACCGAGTATGTGGTCAATTTTCGAGAAGGTTCCATGAGCTGCAGAGAAGAAGGTATATTCTTTCCTATTTGGGTGGAGTGTTCTATAGATGTCTGTTAAGTCCATTTGATTCAATACCTCCAATAATTCTCTTATTTCTCTGTTAGGTTTCTGTCTGATGGACCTGTCCATTGGTGAGAGAGGTGTGTTGAAGTCTCCTACTACTAGTGTGTGTGGTTTGATGACTGCCTTGAGTTCTAGAAGAGTTTCTTTTACATATGTGGGTGCCTTTATATTAGGGGCATAGATATTCAGGATTGAGACTTCTTCCTGATGAATTGTTCCTGTTATGAGTATGAAATGTCCATCTCTGTGAGACGCATCCCTTGTCCAGCAAGCAGAAGCGACCACGAAATCGAGAATCCTTCCCAAATCACAATTTATTAGAGCACTTGGTTGAAAAGAGGGAACGGGGAAGAGAGAGGAACGAGAGAGAGCGAAAAACCCAAAGGCAGCCGCTTTTCTAGGGTGGAGAGGCTCGAATGCTGATTGGACGATACCATTCTGCTGGAGCCCGGGAGTTTCGAGATAGACCAGGGAACCAAGGATCTGTTATGGAAAAATACAAGCCCAAGGCGCTCCGGGCCCGCACGGCAACATCAAAAGGATCCGTCTACCACCAAGCTGCAGGACGCAGTACCATGGCGATGTTCTGACGGCTCCTTACACATCTCCATCTCTTCTGATTGATTTTAGTTTGAAGTTGATTTTGTTAGATATTAGAATGACCACACCCGCTTGTTTCTTAGGTCCATTTGCTTGGAAACCCTTTTCCCAACCCTTTACTCTGAGTAGGTGTCTGTCTTTGTAGTTAAGGTGTGTTTCTTGTAAACAGCAGAATGTTGGATCCTGTTTTCGTATCCAATCTTTAAGTCTGTGCCTTTTTTATAGGTGAATTGAATCCATTGATATTAAGTGATATTAATGACCAGTGGTTGTTGACTCCGGTCATTTTTTTTTTTTTTGGGTAGTAGAGTGTATGTGTTTTCCTTCTTTGAGTTGTGCTTGTGAAGGGTCGCTAGATGTCTGAGTTATTGTAGGCAGTGTTGGGAATGTTGGATTCCTTGGGTTGTGATTTTCCTTCTAATATTCTCTGTAAGGCTGGATTGGTAGCTACGTATTGTTTAAATTTGTTTTTATCCTGGAATATTTTGTTTTCTCTGTTGATAGTGAACAATAGCTTGGCTGGGTATAGTAGTCTGGGCTTGCATCCATGGTCTCTTAGTTTCTGCAGTACCTCTATCCAGGACCTTCTGGCTTTCACGGTTTCCATAGAGAAGTCTGGTATAAGTCTGATGGGTTTACCTTTATAAGTTACTTGACCTTTTTCCTTTGCAGCTCTTAATATCCTTTCTTTAATCTGAATGCTTTGTGTTTTGATTATTATATGGCGAGGGGATGTTTTTTTTCTGATCCAGTCTATTTGGTGTTCTGTATGCTTCTTGAACCTTCATAGGAATATCGTTCTTTAGGTTGGGAAAGTTTTCTTCTATAATTTTGTTGAATATATTTTCTGGACCTTTGATCTGCAATTCTTCTCCTTCGTCTACCCCTATTATTCTTAGATTGGTTTTTTTTTTATTATGTCCCAGATTTCCTGAATATTTTGTGATAAGAATTTGTTGGATTTGCTGTTTTCTTTGGTCAGAGCGTTTCTCTATGGTGTCTTCATAATCTGAGATTCGTTCTTCTATCTCTTGTATTCTATTGGTTATGCTTGTTCCTGAAGTCTCTGTTTGTTTACCTAGATTTTCCATATCCAGCCGGCCCTCGGTTTGTGTTTTCTTCATTGCCTCCATTTCAGTTTTCAATTCTTGAACTGATTCCATTACCTGTTTGATTGTTTTTTCTTGGTTTCCCAGGGTATCGTTTACGAATTTACTCATTTCTTCAAACTTTTTGTTATATTTCTCTTCCATTTCTTTAGTCATTTCTTCAATCTTTTTGTTATAGTTCTCTTTTATTTCTTTGAGTTATTCATACCCTGTTTAAGAGACTCTATTGCTTTCATAATGACACTGTTTTCCACTTCTTCCGGAATAGGGTGTTCAAGTCCTTCTGTCGTAAGATCGCTGGGATTTGGTGTTTTCATGTTGTATTTCAGATTGTTGAAGGAATTCTTACCTTGGCGCCTGCCCATCTCTTCCTTCAGATGCTCTCCAACGGCTCTTCCCTCCGCTGGGTCTTCTGCTACAGGATTAGTGCCCCTTGCTGGCCAGGAATCACTTTGCCTGCAGTCCTACCTTGCTGCAGGCAGGCTATTAAAACAAAGGAACTCCCTCCCATTTGCACTCACCGCCCCATCCTGGCGGCACCCACACAGGCTGAGTTGGAGGATTTTATGCCCCAAAAAAGGGAGAGAGGAGGGGAAGGGGTTCCTGGCTGAAAGTGGGGATGGGGTAGGAGGAGAGAGGGTTTAGCTGGGGGAAGCCGCCCCTTCGGAATACCCAGGGAGATAAAGATGGCGGGAAAATTGTGTGTGCCCTTACCGGGCTTGTGTGGCGGGTCAGGAACACACTTACCCCTCCACTGTATCTTCTGCTACCGGATCAGTGCCACTTGCTGGTCAGAAATCTCCCTGCCTGCCGTTTTTAACAGTTTTCATTTCTATTGAATGTATATTTTTATTCAAACACTTTGCTATTTACTCTTGCATTCTTCTAGTCTAATCTTTGCTTTTAATTTATACTTTTTTGGTAATGTGTTTATTAAGTTTCATCATCTCATTCTGAATTTTCCTAATTCTGATTAACACTGTCATTTTCGTGTCTTGTGTTATTTTCTTAATGGTTTCCCACTCGTTTTGATCTATTTTTCTTCTGACGGTGTACAGAGTATCTTCTTCGTCTTTCATGGTGCTTTTCTGCCCCATAACAGATATTTAACATGGAGTTTGTTTCCAGACTTCGAAGGGAGACTTGGGTCAGATGAAGTTTTTCTGGCTGTGTACTATTCCTCCTCCTGCTTCCTTCATATGTTCCTCAAAATGTGGCCCCTTGGGCTCACCCTGATGGCGAGAGCAAGGGAGAACTGGTGGGCTAATCAACCCTACAACTACCCAGGCCCAGAACCAGGGTTATGGATTGGCCCTCCTGATAGCCATCCCACCCATGATCCACTGGAGCATGTGAAGGGTCCTGACCCCCCAGACTCAAAGCTTCAGGATCTCCACAACACAGGACAACAGCAGGATAGCCAACCGGAGTCCAAGCGAGGGCTCAGCATCAACAGTGTAGCAGAAACCAGAGACCTCTAATGAACCGCAATGAACACTTGCAAGTAAAGATACATGGACAAAAGGGTTTGCTGCATGACAACTATCCATGATGAGATTTTTCCCTCCCCTTTTTCTTTTCTTTTTTCTCTTGAAGTTTATTGGGGGCAGAACTGCAAGGGTCGAGGGCCAATACACAGGGACAGAGGACAAATGGGATGGAATGGAGAAGCATGATGGGAAAGACACAATGAATGAATAAAAAAGAAGTTTTTTTAAAAAACATGGCTCCAGGCTGGTCTCAAACTCATGATCCTCCTGCCTCTGCCTCCTTCCCAGAGAACTTAGACAACAATGAGGACACCAAGAGAGACTTACATAGATCTAATCTACATGGGAAGTAGAAAAAGACAAGATATCTTGAGTAAATTGGGAGCATGGGGACCTTTGGGGAGGGTTGAAGAGGGGTGGGAAGAGGCAGGGAGGGGAACAGAGAAAAATGTAGAGCTCAATAAAAATTAATAATAAAAAAAGAAGAAAAAAGAAAAAAACGTGGCTCCTTGATTTATGGATTTTTATTTCCTGTTCAAACTATTTCTCTACCACTGCAATTTTATTTCACTTTTTATATTGCAATTTCAGAGTCACCTTTTCTGCTCAGTCTTAGCTATGGTTCTGACAGCGCTCGCACCTGGCAGCTCCGCCCTGACAGGAATCCTGAGGGGCAGCTCTGTGAGTTCGCAGATCCCAGGAGCCTTCAGCCCTGCAAACTTCTCAGCAGAGGTGGCACTGGTCCCAAAGGCCCTGACTTTTCACTGTTTGCCATGCTATGCACCCCAGGGGAGTTCAACTGACTTTTTGGAGGTCTCCTGTTCTCAGACCTTTCCTCTTCTTTGTTCCACAGTGGTGCAGTGTGTCTGGGACCTGGGGAGACTCGTCACCTGTGCATATCCATGAGGTGGAAAGACTTTCCTGTCTAGCGTTGTTGCTAATTTCACCCCTGGTTTGAACTTCTGCTCTTTCTGTTTCTTAGTCGTTGATTCAGGGATTGCATTTTCAATGGTTTGAAAAGAAAAAGAAAGTATAAATTATTTAAGATGAATAAAAAAAATAAGGAGATTAAGGTAACTACCCCAAAGTCATTGTCTAGCTTGCGAAGTCAAGGGTCACAAATACAACAGAAACCTCCTAGACCTTCCCCTTCCGTTATGTTTTTTGCAATTCTACACAAAGTCTGCCACTCCCACAGTCTTGAATCAATAAATGATGATAATCTAGTCGCAGAGTAGATGCTCAGCATGAAGGCATCTGATAGAGGCACAGGTATCGATTGGAGAAGGCTTCCAGGACGCTGATGTTTGCCCCCTTACAAAGCGTACATTTCTATCTCTACTGAGCACGCGGTGTCTGCTCTACAGTCTTTCTTTCCTCATGGGAAGCCTGCATAACCTTACCAATGACCTGCAGCCTCCACCAGGGAGACCTCCCAGTTCCTCCCAACTCCCTCCACCCGGAATTTCCAGCCCACCAGTATTGGTATTTCCCATCAGGGACATAGACTTTCCTTACATTTTCTGGTTTGTAATTTTCACAGGTTAATATGCTTCACACTAAGGGGGGAAAAAGTCGTAATTACTTTGTACCAAGCTGTAAAGAGCTTTACTGACTCAAGAACATAATCATTGCTGTGTTGTGAGCACAGCGGAGCTGGTTCTTATTTGTGATCCTGAGTTATTATGCCGCAAGTCTGCAAAATTATTTAGACAGAAATAATTATACCCAATGTAGTCGGATCTGGAGAATCACAGATTGCGGTAAATTGGAAAGTCTGATCCTAAATATATATATTATGTTATCTTGTTTTTGCTCTATCTTTTCCTGAGTGGTTTATCTCTTTCCCTGCAAACTTTGATTCACTTAACTGCTTGTTTTTGAAGGTTTTTTTTTTCTTTCTCACATCGTATTTTAACAAGATGTAAATTAGGAGCATCAAATCACATCCATCCATCTTGGCCGTCTTCTAGATCAGTGTGTGATTACGTAGGTCTTCATTCCTACCCACTCTTCACTCAGGCCAAGTGGAGAGACTCATTGAGGACCTTAAGCAATTGAGATTCCCAGTTTCCATGAGGTTCTGTGGGGTCTTCCTGCTTTATGAGTCTTGATACAGGGAAGCATAGTTTTTCCTTTGTCTTCTCTTCTTCCGCTCAGATGCTGCCCAGACCTACACATGTATCTTCTGGTACTTTGTGCATACTTACTCTTTCTCTAATTTCAACCATTATGACTCGAAGAGAATGGCTCCCTCTCTTCCTATGTATCTATAATAAACTTCTCTTTAAAGCTACAAAAACAATGATCAAACATTCTCTACTTGAGTGAGGTCGAACTCAGCAGCAAAGTCCCTTTAGTATGGAGCCTA